GTATGCTGAAAAAAGAAACAAAGTAACCAACAAAATATTCGTGTATGTAATATTAAGTACACTTCAAAGTTTATTGTATACATTATGGCATATATAGATATCAGGTTTATTTGCATCAACTGAATGTTTCAAGTGTCAACTTTTATTTTATTATGCTTATGATTGCCGTCATGGTTTAACGTGATGGAACCAAAATTGATAAGCTAGCCTTTCCCTGCAGTATAAAGCTAAGCCTGCACGGCATTGTCGTCTGATAAAGCTGTAAACGGCTGGCTAAAAAAACTTTTCAACTTGATATACCAAACTTGATTATGTACAGTTCAAATAATGGACTCTGGAAATTTTCGTTTAACCTTTAACCTCATACAGGCGCGTTTTGACGACTTTTTACCCCCTCCCCATTTTGAGGCCTCAAATAGTGAAAAAAATATCCTATTTTGGTCCAAAACACTTGTTTCCGTTTTGAGAAAAGTTGTTAAAAAGAATCACTTTTTAAGCGCCGCCCCTATAAAAAGTGTCAAGGGGGTGCCAGGGGGGGTGGGGGGGTGGTTTGATGCTTTGAGCCACCTTCTGCTTATGGCTTTGAAGGGGGACAGCCGATACACAAAAAAGTGATTTTTGGTAATTTTGGGATGTCCCCCTTTGACATGATAACAGGAAATTTAAGGTTGAGCGTGCTGTTACAAAGGCTATGGTCCAGTTAACATATGTTCAAAGTTTGATCAGTATTGAAGCATTTTTTTATAGTTTCATAGCGGTTTGAACTTGTAACTGGAGGCTTTTTAACAGCTATATTTCACTATATGCTCATGCAGTAAAAACGTCATGGTACGCCGCAGATAAAGGGCTAATATGTCGGAAAAAAACGTAATCGTCAGGTATATAAATAAAAAAAAATAATTCGATATTTAAATAATTTAAAAGTCGAAATTCTATTAACTGTATAGGAAAAACTGGCTGTTAAAAGCCTAGAAAAAAATCATCATCGGAATTTAAATGAAATGAACAAAATGATAAATGTAAAAAGATATAAAAGGGCATTGTAAGAATTGAATAAGAAACGATCGCAAAACACTAGAATTAAGTAAAAAAAAAGGGAAAAAAATAACAACAACATTTTTTTTGTGAAAGAGTTATTCAAATTATTACAACTATAATCCAAGAAGTCAGCAATTACATTGTAATGAATTGTTGAAATCTTGAATGTGAAAACAACAATAAGTAGAAAAATCCATGATGCTGATGAAAAAAAATCATTACTATTCTAAAGATCTAATAAAATACTATAAGATCGACGGGAATGCACTTGTGAAAATAGAAACAAATGAAACAATTGAATTCCTTTAAGTTCTAACACCAAAGATTGTAAAAATGGCATCCAACTCAATCATAGATACAAGCAAAATAGCAAAGTGAAAAATCAAAACTGGCCCACACCTGGTACAAAAAAAGTAAGGGGAAAAATCAAAATCTCTTTAAAAAGTAGTGGAAAATTTAATAATTTGCTGTAAAATTCAAGAGTGAAATAAAACACAAAAACGTACCTGCTAGAGCAAAGCAAACGGCGATGAAAAACTTCATTTTTGTTTTAATTGGCTATGTTGAATACAATTCACTCTTTCTCTGGCTAAGTCAAATCATTTCAATTTATACGTTTGATTTACATGGCAATGTCACGATGACATTCTAATCTTTCTGAGTATTACCCGGTATTACTTCGCCTCTTTGGGAATCTTACCGCTACTTACGACTCATTACTAGTATTATTTAATATTTCTTAACTGAAAAGGGACTCAATCACGAATCTTAGGAGCAGCCCAGAACCCATGTGTTATTGATATGCCACTTAACTGGTACATAAACATACATATGTACATGTAAATGCGTTGTTATTGAGTTCTTTATTCTGTCCACTCTTTTCCAAATATTTTAATAGTTTCCTAAGATTAGTTTTTGTTTCAGTTTTTGAACATCCGGACATGCTCTGTTGAATTTGATGTCACTTCATTGCTATTGTTACGATCTCACACAGAGAAGATATGTTAAGGTTTTACACATCGGATGTTTCTAAATTCAAAAATTCACCATTCTCATGTTGAAATATTGAATTCTGCTTAAACCGGTGCTAAAGGGCGTGGACAGTAATTTACACATGACAATATCTTTCTTTACGGACTTTCTTTGCGGATTCTTATTTTCTCTATTTTGAACGCTAAACATAATAGGTAATCAGATTATGAATACATAGTGTCATAAAACTGACAGTTTCAAAATTGGACCAAATTATGTTGATCAATAATTGAGAATGCATCTTCTCAAACGTGCGTTTATTTGTGCATTTTCACATTCAAATTAGACTCATTCCATTCAATTAGAATTTCCTAGACTGCAATATAAGAATATGCCTAAAATTTAGCACAAAATATTCTTAAGCTATTATTTAGCAACGACAATGGCATGAAATCCCATTGCATTCAGACTGACTACACCTTCTCACACATATTATTGTATTTTTTATGTACGGTGACATAAAGAGGACATAAGAAATCTTTTATTTACTACGTGTGCATGCGATAGCTATTACGTGGTCTCGCAATTGGTATTTAATTTGCATGACCCGCAATAGACATAGCAAGCCCAAGCGATAGCAAGTACGTGTGCACACGAGAGTATTACGTTGCCAGGTGATAACTGATATTGTCGCGTGACAACGTACAAGCTATCGCGTCCATTCAAGATTTCTTATGTCCCCTCTTATCGATGCCAACGTGTGAATGTGTGTCATAGCTAAATATGTGGATGTAAATGTCTGAAAAGGTTGATGATGAAACATACTCAAAAGTAAACCGAATATCAATTTTTGTGCGTGTCTTAGCCTGATTTCAGTGAAAAGCCTTTCATTTTAGGTCGTTTTACACATTAAAAAATATTATTCTGGAAAAATGGGGTCAGTAAATGATTTGAACATTTTGCACAAAAGTTATTGGTCTAAAATTACACAAAAATGACACACAACCCTTTTAACTATCGGGAAAAATATTTTGATTCCCGTTATGTAAATAGAACCTAAGGAGAGTCCCTTTAAGGCTGTATATCGGTGTTTTTATATGTATCTATTTTAATATTTGCAAGTTAAAGATGGAGATTGATATTTATGGTTGAATGTTACAGACATGTTGACTAAGACATCATTGGGAAGCAAAAGGCGGATAACCACCATAGATGTTTTATATGAAATTAAGTGTTATTTGCTTTCATTTATATAAGTATGAACAAAATAATTGAACCCTTCAATGCAAAATATAGTTTCGTGAAATAAAAGTTGCCATTAATGTTTCGAAAAACTGCCTGCAATCTGCTTACTATTAACTTGTTCCTATTGCAATGCGGCAAAATGTTATACTATTTAAGGTAGTACACCCCTAATGGGCACTATAAGGAATTGTAAATTTGACAACATGGGACAGTTATATGCCTTAAATGTCACCTGTTTGCAAAATTTAAACAAAATTTACCGTGTGGTTGATGAGTTATGGACATTTTTATGAACTAAAACTTTGCCATTAGAAGGGATTTTTTCAGGATTGAGGAAACTCTAAAAAATCTATAATATCATCATTATGAAAAATGTTTTCCTTTTGCTCATTGTTAAGAAATAAACAATGACATATAGGTAACAAATTAAACAAGCAAAATGATTGTTTTTAAACGAAATGCTTTTAATATGTATAAAAATGTAACCCTACCCCACCCACTTTTAACACTAATTTGACCATTTCCCTATGTAAAAAGCCTTATTTAAAATATCCCTAAAATTTTCCAAAATGAGGGGCTATTTTCAAAGTTTGCCTAAATTTTCTTTAATGTATATTGGTTGGTCTTGCAAAATATAAAATACTTTTACCGTGTAGTTTTTATTTTATTAAACTTTGAAAATATCTGGTATCATATTTGCTATTAAATTTGGCATTATTTAGTAAATAAATACCTACAATAATTATATAATTAAAATAAAACACTTTTTTCTTCCATAGGGGGTCTGAGAGATTAATAAAAAATGTTAAAATGAAAAAAAAAGAAAGAAAAAAAAAATTGCACATTCTGGGGCTTGAACCCACCCCCCCTCAGTTTCAATACACTTTACAGTGATTTAAGCCTATTTGAATACTCTTCAAAGTGGATACAGTGCATTAGGGGTCTACTACCTTAAGTCGTTAATGTTTATTTGGGTTTAGATCGAATAAAAGCCATACCATATTGTGACACTGTGAATGAAAGTCAATTATTATACAATGTGATAGATATTCGTGAATATTTTTATATTTCGCTCCGTCAATAAACATCGCTCTTCTATTAGACAGATTTATAAATCAAATTAATTTTAATCAAAGATCCTGTATGAGTAATTAAGGTTGTTACCACACTCAAGTGAAACTTTATATCTGTATATAATTATGCTTAAGCAGATTCTAAAACAATTTTCAAACATCGAAGAATATGTAAAATATGTACTGCAAAAATGTGTCCACATTGAATGTAATCATTAAAACATATGCATTCATTTCTTATTGAAAAATTTTACTTAGACTTTAAAGAAGCTAAATTTCTAATTACCTCCCTCTATTAACATGAAATATAAATTCGATAATATCTTTACAAATAATGCTTTTTGGATCTTACAATATTAAAAACTCATCATTTGAGCATTGTATTTATGATATAAAACTATAAAAAATGGGGTAACAGGATCTATAAATGCATGATCTTTCGATAAACTATAAGCATATAAAATTAGAGAGCACACTAATATTTCAGGACCTGTATAATATTTGGTATCCTCTCAAAAAGCTAGATTAAGTAATTCACTATTGTGTGGATATTTTAAGTTATTCTGTAATTACACGAATCATTTAGTTTAAGACAATTTTATTCATGTACATATACTTAATATTACCACATTTTTAACAAGGTGAAATAAGATATCTACAAGTCGTGATTTTTTTTACCTAGTCCACATGGCACTTTCTCATCGTGTCGATTTTTATTACGTAAATCAGACAGTGTCAACGGTTTATTTTCATACAGATTTAACAAGATTCGTTCAAAACTGTATTTCAGTTGAAAAAATGTTTAAAATTGTGTGCTTATTGGTGTGCGTGGGTGAGTATTGAACAAATTTATTGATTTAATGGTTAAATAATCAGTTTTATTTTGAAAATTCTTTTCAATGATTGCTTGATTTTGTTATTACTTTATCTAATATATGTTTGGTTCCCGTAATAAAGGACATTTTTTCAAATTATGGAAAAGTTCTTTTTGCAACAACAATTTTTATTGTGTGTGTAAAACATTTTAACTCACTACCTTAACACCTACAAAACACTGTATGTTGACTGTCAAATATCAAACTCTTACATGAAAATCTCTGTCTTGCAGTTGCATGATAGTAAAATTTGGTTAACATGAATGACGTTTAGGATATATAATGTCCTAAGTTCCATATTTGTACAAAAATGTTAACTTAATTAAACCTGCAAAAGATAAATTTTTAACAAAATTAACACATATTAATGGGTATTGATACAGAATGACATTGTTTTCATTTCCAAAATACTTGTCTTAAATTGTATCAGAATTGATATAAATCGGTATCACTTTTAACACTTTACTGGATTTTCTAAAAGTTACTGTAAATCAACAAATGGATGCATATGTTAGTTTGTAAATAAATACGTTAATGTTAACCAAACTTTCGTATATTAAAGTGTATCTAAAAGTAAGATAAATAGATTTTTTTTGTTTGTTTCAGGAATAGTGTTGTCTGAAAGGCCAGAATATGGAACAGAACATTGCAAAAATGTTTTAGCTACAGACTGTAGCGGCTATTCTCCTGAACCTGTGTGTGCCTTTGACGGCCACAATCATGTGACATACCAAAATAGGTATAAAAAATTTATATTTATGCTTATCTTATATGTCCAGCTCTTGACATCTATAATTTCTTTCATTTTTCAACAGATAATATTTAAGATTTTAGGTTCAATTTTGATTTCTCATCGATTTCAATATAATTATGACTTTTTATCACATGTCCAAAATACATGAAATAAGAACTCTTTAAAGTTAAAAATAATCAATTAATTGACGGTCTGATAGTGTAACGCTAAGAGTAAGTTCTCATTAAGCTATATCTGTATGACGCAAATGACGTCACGTCAAATATATGCACGGCTGTACAATACCTTTTAACGAATCGAAAAGAGCTGCGGATATACGATTTATTGTGATACGCATTCATATACATAATGTTATAATAATACTTCCAATTTAAGTTATGAATTGTTATTTGGCGTCTTCGATCTATTGCGTCCTATAGGGTAACAGTTAAAACCACTGTCATAATGTAAAATGTTCGCTACACCTTGCATGCTGATGATTTTATGCTTTCATCTGGAATAGGAATGCTTTTAATTTTGCACTATCCTCTTATACGATTCTGAAGGAATTTTGGCCGGTTGTATCTGTATCTGTTATCGTTGTTGTCTGCTTGCACTTCCAATGACTTGCATAAAATTGTCAATATATGTAATTTGATGGAGGGTTATGATTGCGTGATGAATAAAAACCATTTGAAATTATCAGAGGCTAATGATGCTGAAAGAACCTTTATTTATGAATTGATTTTCAATTCTCAGTGGTAATAAAAACCATCTATACTCTTACAACTAAGAGTTATTTATTTTTGCATTTAATGATACACTGCAAATATTTTCAGTTGCGAATTTGCGCACGGAATCTGCTCACACCATGGCCATAGCCTGCATGCTTTACACCAGGGTCCATGCACTGGAACAGAAACACTATAGAAAGGTCTATTTAACATTGAATTAACAGCTGAATAAAAATGAAAAAAAGTCAAAGATAAATCTGTTGTTTCTTTTTATTTATCCGACCCAGACCATGACTTATAGTCGAGCCGAGTCCTTTCGCAATCAGTAAAATCGAAAAATAATGTACAATTTTCTTAGGAAAAAACTAAAATCCGTGTTAATCAAACTCTTTATAAATAGAGCAAAAAAGTAAACGGCATATTAAAAACAAACAAACAAACACAACTATAGCCCCATCTTAACGCCTCTTTAGCATGTCCTTTCTCGAATGAGTGTGAGTCTGTTGTTGCACAAATAATGGCAATAAATCAGTTGGTAAAATTAGGTTTACGTTAAATTAATTGGGTATCCTGATTTAAAGAAAACCCGGGTTTGAGGTAGTTTTAGAGTGCGTTGAAGGAAAGTCATTTTGGTCTAATGACAAAACTATATATTGAATGCCAAAAAAAAAGGTTCCGTGATATAACTTTAATATTATTGTATTCAGAGTATACTAGCCAGTCCATGCGTTTCAATTTCTTATATCGGCAGCAGATCTAAAATCAAATACACAGTAACATTGAAAATGTTTCCGTACCAGTATCATTTCATCCTGAATTTCAAAAAATGCTAAGGTGTTGTTGATTAATGGATTCTTTTGTTTTGGATTTTAATGTCTCAAAGGTCAGAACAATAGTTATATTATTACAACTTAAAACAGTGTGCCCTATGTTTTTAGGTGATATTGGCCCCTCGGATGTAAAGTATTATATTTGCATGTAAGCAGTAGAATACCATAGGTGTTATTGCTTGTGTAGGTATTTATGGCAAACGCGTTCTTTATCATTAAATGTAAATATATAAATATTTGATCAGCTATGCCTTTTCACTCATAACTCATATGAAAAAATGATTAAACAAATCATATTTCTACATTTTCTTTAATATCATAGAGAAAAAAATAATTATGAAAATTTCATAAATTTCACAATTCATAATGTGACTATAGAACATAAGGAAAAGCCGTTACAGACCAATTGTATGAAGTTAGTGTTCGGCCTTCCAAAGGAAAACATTAGAATTGAGAAATGTCGATTTTATCAATATGTAATATTTTGAATAAAAATACATAATTTTACACAAATGGGCACACAGTCAGTTATTTTTAATGGGACTAGAAAAGCTCTATATACGGGAATGACAAATACCGAAAAACACTGGAAAATCTCTGGTAAAATAAATTAAGAACATAAACCCCATATGCGGTAAATACTTAATAAATTATCGCTCAATAAAACCATTGATTGTAGTTCGCATGCGAGGAATTATATCACGAGGGCGTAGCCCGAGTGATATAATGATGCACATCGGAACGAAAAATAATATTTTTATCAAGCGATAAAATCACCGATTAGGATTTTAATTATTTCGATTCTAACAAGACAACGTACCTGATATTAAGCTAAATTTCGCTTGATTTGTTTCCGTTCTTATTTTCAGCGCGTCGCATTTTTAGTGGTTACGTGAAATGTCAATTCGGTGACATCTTTACAAATAACGCTTTTTGGAACTTACAATATTGAAAAATCTTCATTTAAGTGTCATATGTATGATATGAACCATAAACAAATGACTAGCAGGATCTTTAAGAATGTATATCTATGAGATTTGTCTTGCATACATGCATCTTATAATTCATAAAATGAATGCCCATATTAACTTTATACATTTAATAATTTTTGATATTCATATATAACTCTGTAATTTGTAAGAGTGTTCTTAAACTTACAGGATTATTTTGTTCCAAATAATTAATATATGTAACGCTATATTAAATGTCATGTTGACGTTTCCGCCCGAATGGTATTTGAATTGAATGATTGTATAAAAGATATCAAAAGAAAATATTTTTAAATACATCGCCAGTATAAAAAAAATAAAGAAATGATATTTAAATTGATTGTTAATATATCGAATGAGAAGATATTTGAAAGTTGCGCCAATATGAATAATATGGAGAGAAATTATATCTAAATTCAATGATTGTATAAAGGTATCAAAAGAAAAAAAAATGAACATATCATATCGACAGTATGAAAGAAAATTGAATGAGTGTAGTTTTAACGAGTTTAATAAAATCATATTTTGCGAGCCTCTGGCGATATTTGAATAAAAAAGCAATATAAATAATATCGATAGAAATGATATTTAAAACGATCGTTTATAAAAAAGATATAGACAGAAAAGATATTTGAAAATAGCCCCAATTTGAAAATTGTCGAGCGAAATAATATTTTAATTGAGTGTAAATATCAAAGATTTCAAAAGAAAAAATATATTAAAATGAGCCGCGTCACGGCAAAATCAACATAGTTTGTTTGCGACCAGCATGAATTCAGACCAGCCTGCGCATCCGCACAGTCTGACCAGGATCCATGCTGTTCGGTATCAGTTTCTCTACTTGTTATAGGGTTTGTAAGCGAACAGCATGGATCCTGATCAGACTGAGCGGATGGGCAGGCTGGTCTGGATCAATGCTGGTCGCAAACCCATTATGTTGGTTTGGTCGTGACGCGGCTCATTTGAATATAGCGTCAATATCGAGTGTTTATATGAGCTATAACGATTTTCCGAGTATGTGTGATTCAACTTGCGATGTACCGTTAACTTAATATAACAAAATTCTCAAATATAACATATAGATTACATTTAAAAAAGGTATAAAAAAGATATAATACATGAAAAGCATGAACATGATAATTTTAAAAAATCCATTACACATATGATACACATGCAGTAATGTCATGAAAAGTATGGCTAAAAACTACTTCCGTTATATGCATATGATAGTAGGAAAATGAAATTCAGTTGTCTTACATTAATTCTATTTCATTACACTGTTATATATAACAGCTGCTCAATAAAGTATTAATAGTCCGGACGTTGTTATTCCAATCTAATGTTTCGCTGTTTTCAGATCATTCAATGGTTTGCTAAATTCTTTTTATCATCCACGAGCATCTGACTTCCCCATTTAAGCAGACGTTTGACAACAGGGTAAAGATTGGATATGTATATGTCACTGTTCCAACCAGTAAGTAAATGTACTAAATCAGTTCTGACGGTTGATCCCTGTCTTCGGTCATTAGAGCCAAAAATGTTCTGGACGATAGGAAAAGGAAAATTGCAGACAACCAAGCCAGGAGCCAGGCGACGATGTCCAGGTAAAAAGCAGCGTGAAGCTCCGTAGAATTTTCTTTGATGCCCGTCAAATAGACCACAAAACAAATCAGCAAAAGAATACCTGAAAGAAATTGGAGGAAAAAAAGTTGAAGTTACTGCTTAAAAGCATGGTAAAAAAAGCTGAAAGTATGCCGACACATGAAAAGTAGCAACACATTATCAGTAAATTATATCTTCCAATAGTACACGATCGGCTACATAATAAATTTTAGTCTCATAAAATGTAACATCAATAATGTAATGCTAATATGACGACTTTGAAGATTCACTGAGAAACCGATGAAGCGACCATTCGTGTAGAATTTCAGGCATTAGTACAACCAATGACCAGGTTGGGAAGCTTGACAAATAATCGAAATCCTAATGCAGAATTCGAACACACATATGTCAGGAGCAAGTGATAATGATGATGATGATGATGATTATGATAATTATTATTATTATTATTTTTATTATTATTATTATAATTATTATTATTATTTTTATTATTCCATGTAGTTTATCATTATCATCTTGTCTTTCATCACCATCATCGTTTCAATAAAAGTTCTTCAGTTATTGTCAATAACTATTGAACATATAAACTAGGAATTCATAATTCATTTCACAAACAACACTCTTGTGACAATCGATTTGTAAAACATTAATCATGCATGTAATAATTAACTAACAATATCATTAAACTAAGATAAACCAATGTTCAATATATCAGAAATATGTGATAGAAATGATACCAGAGAGTTTAATTTTATGTTAAACCATTACTTTTAATCACCCATTGGTTTGTTTGTTTGTTTGGAACACCGTCTTATTTCTGTTGATTTTTTTCTGACATATTTGTCTCTCTGTCTCTATTAATCATTTTTTTGTGTTTTTTTAGGGGGAAGGGAGGAGTGGCTTCGGTTGGGTTTATGATTTTGGGGAGGAATAGCTAAAATCTATCTTACTATTCCACATTTTGTAAAAATACTTAAATTTGTTTTCTAATTTTTTTTCTAGGGGTTCAGTATAAAGATGGATTCTTTGATTGACTTATTTTTATTGTAATGTTGACTTTTGTTTTCTCTCTTTTTGTGATTGTCTCTATAAATCTTAGCTTGATTATTTCATTCATTTATTCGTCATATTTCTTGATAATATCCATAGTACAATCATACAAATTATGGAGGCATAACTACATCACATCAATACTAAAACGTCGATTTTTGCATTAATAACACACTAAGAAACTGACATATTAATATCTCAAGACCGCTTTAGAGTGCAATCATTCATTCTCTTTATTGATCTAAGACAGTTCCATCTTAAGTACTTATAATTTGTTATACTGAAATTTCGGAGATCGGGGCACCGCTTTCTCTAAAAAATACACAGAAAAATAGGCCTGGAAATGCCAATAACGGTTATGATGATGCTAGTTTCTGTGTTTTGTGATTTTCATTCAACATTTGCGTGATAAGTGTCCTTCAGGGTTTTGTGAATTGTATAAACAGTAATTGTAGCTGTTTTAGATCGATATAATCTGTGTGACTTTTCTGATATATCTGTTACTTATTTCTTTTTCAATTATTGAACCATTATTAAAGTGTTTTTTTGTTTTTTTTTCGTTTTTATTGGAGGGGGGGAGCGGTGGTCTATAAAACTTAATCGAATTTATTCTAAAAAGTTTGTATAAATGTTGGGGCTTCACTTACATGAAAACGTTTTATTCCTCAAATTCTATATAGATAGTTTGCGCATTTAGACTCGTATAAAATATTGACCCCTTGCTGTTGTCCTACATTTTTATTTTTTTTATTTTCGTGCTCTTATAATGTAATAATACAGTTCTGAACTTAGACTGTAATCGTTTCAATATATACCGTTCTTCACGTGGTTTTCACTTACTACTGTAAAAATACCATCCAGTAAATAGGTCAAGAAAATTTATAGCTCTCTTGCGCAATATGTCAAAACCATGCTCATGTCAATGATATATTTTTTGTTCTTCTTCTTGAGTGCTATTTTCACTCTCGTACGGAAATTTACGTCTGAGACAGAACGTAGGTAACAAATATATAACGATGTAGTAAATCGTTTTATAAACCCATACCATCAAATATTCATGACTTTACGACAGTCGCAGTAAGAAAAGCAACATCTTTAAAAAGACAACAGTTCCCCGTATAAAAGATACTTCATTTCCACAAAGAAAGCCAAATGTAATTGTTCCGTTATAGTGAACGGATAATTTGACAGTGTTGAGAGATATCAACTTTATCGATTTTTCCTATAGGACGTAGTGGTATGATGAATTTCAAAGTAGGTACATCACGATTAAACCAACTGACTGTATAAATTTGTAGCAAATCTATATAGACTAGCAAAGTAAATATGCTGTTTAATTTGAACGTAATTATTTACTTCAATTATGTTAAATTTATGACATCCAAGTAATAAATATCATTTGACCATAGGGATATTACTAAAAGAAGCAATGACATTTTTGAAGAACATCGTGTGTAAATGAAAGTCTAGAATACAGTGTATTTGATTTAAAACGTTTGCATTGACATCTTGTACATGTAGTTAACGATGAGATAAATTTTGCTCGTTTGTGTGTGGGTTTGTGTTTGGTCAACCTGAATTTGTTGACTTTGTAGCCCTGAACATGCCCAGCTTTGTATTTGGAACAGACCATTTAAAAATAGGAGATTTCAAAAACAAATTACAAATACTGAGCTACCAAAAGTATAGAGCTTGGTCAAACTGCACAAAGCTGACAAAGGCTAATCGCCTTCGGTTCCAGAAGGTTTTAAAAAGTAGTTTAATATATTGCCTTTTATAATTATGACAATATAATTACAGAGCTTGAATTTCCCACCAAAACGCATTGGTATTGTTGTACATTTCGATCATTTTTGACGGTATATTTAAGATACTTAGTGCGTGGTCAGACTATTTATCATGATTAAGATACAGATCATATATTTTTGCTTGAATGTACAACGTTAATAAATGCGTACATAAATTATCCTTGTACTTCTAATGCCGGTCTAAATTTGATATTTCCCCAATATTAATATTTAAAAAATATATTATGTTTAAGCCAGTGCTGGGGAAAGGGGGTAAGCGTTATGTGAACGATATTTTGCATAAAAGCTCAAAATCAAATCGAGTCTGCGGCATATTCAATTTTTGAAGTGTTAGGAAACCATAGATTTTTCATTTTAAATGTTTCATAACGTCAATATAAAAATTCAACCAACCTGCCTCAATGGAGAGTGCCCAGGCCGTATTCAAAAGGCCTTTCATATTTTGATATTTGGTGTATGTAAGGGTACTACATACACAAGCAGCAACCAATGAAAATAATGCTATAAATAGCAGAAGGCGCGTGGCAAATAGCATCATCCCTGTTTCTGTACCTAAAAGTAGAAACAAATTTATAAATATTTGTTAAATTGGACGTTCTTTTAAATAAATTGTATTGTCAACAATAAATGTAAGTGCAAATTTCGGATTAAAAAGATATATAAGCATAGTTTTCAATCAAAATTGATAGACAATATATAAGTTCTGCGCTTTTTAAGGGGATTCCTCAGTCAAATATAACATGTGGATATGACTGCAGGTAAGGTGAAGTGATCAAAATGCATAGTTTCACTGAAATGTATTTTCTTGACTATTTCATATCAATTAAAATCAATATAATGTACCTGAATAATTAATATAGGGGGTGGGGGAGCATCTGATTATCGGATTGGTTCGATCCTCGGGCAAGGCGTATTTCTCCGTGACAAATTAAATAGTCGGTCTCAAGCGGAAAAAAATAATTATCCAGGAAAACTTAAATTAAGCTTGATCAACCAACTTCATAAAGAACGATTTAGAAAGTCTTATTTTCCTGTAGATGTACATGTATACAAAATTTAATGTATTTCATATAATCAGTTTAAGAGTTATTGTTGTAGAATGTATAACAAAGTCTTACTTACTGAAATCTATTTCTCTCCATACTTTTGTCGTGTTTCCTAATCCAGATGGAACATCCGTTTTGGCGAAATCATGAAATGTACGATGTTCGTACCACAAGCCGGCTTGAATATGAACATAGTTCAGAAGAATCGGACCTACACCTTCCGATTCAATAGCTCCCACCTCCCAGTAGTCAAGAGACAGCGCTAAAATGCTACATAATGTAGCTACGAAAGTTATCGATATTCCAATTACAAAACAGCAGTCGGTCATAATTTGTTATGTTTTTACAATCCAATATACCATGCAATAATATCCTTCTTTATTTGATAAGATTCCACAACTTTCTTTTCCTTAAAATCCAGTCTGCAATAGCATTGCTATTTATAGATTTTCTTTATTTTAATCCTTATACGCTACCACACTATGCCTCCTTCGCATTCTCCTAGAAACAAGTATTTTGCACGGATTGATGCATCTAAATGATAAAATCTAGCAATCTGAATAATGGAAATATCAAACCTTGATTAAATAAACGAACGTTTTTGATCATAAAACAATCTGCTCAACAATGACAAATGCTGTAAATATAATATGGTGAAGTCAAGGTTATGCGAGTATTGCAACACAACATAAGAATCTAATGTACATTTATTGTGAAAATGCTCTAAAATTCAACCATCAGAAGCTGTCTACGAACAAAATATTCTACAAATTAACTTTGGAATCTTACGAAACTGTCAGTCTGTATAATGTGAATATACAAAATGTTATGAAACAAAACTGAATTAACTATATCTTACTTTTAGGTAAATATTTTAACTTTGAAATTAAATACCAGAAAACTATACCAAACTTCGATTTAATTTAATTTTTAAATTACGTTAAATATTAACTTAGTGTAGAATGACATACTGAAATGAAAAGAAGGTTGTTGCCTATAACAGAAAATTGAATATATTTACATCATGCTACACAAGTTACTGATGTGGGTTCAATTCATTTTATTACCACATTCTACGTAGAAACGTTTCTTTTTTGATAAAGGAAAACATATTTATAAATACTTTAAAAATATAATGTTGTAGATTACCTTTAACAATATTTCTTAGTATAATGTTAAATCAGTTGAACTTTACATATTCGTTTTAAAGGTTTTTTTTTCTGGTGAAACCAGTATTATTTATACTTACAATCAAAAACAATCTGAGATATATTTCTAAATTTGTAAAATGTTTATTTATTTATACAAAATTGAAAATAAAAAAAATAAAGCCAGAAAATGATTTTTTATCCTTTCTTTTAATTGCACAATGCAAGGAAATGAACAATGTGAAGTAAAATAGCTTTTATAATACTGTACGCTGGTATCGTCGCTTTTCATTGGATAATGGCAACGGTATTATATTTTAGAATGTGCACGGCTGGTGTCGATCTATGAAAAAAAACACATAGGTCTCTCTCTCTCCATCCTCCTCTCTCTGTCTCTCTTGTAAAAAGACAAAAATAATTTTTAAAAGGACCTATAACCCGTCAAAAATATAACAAATGATATACATGCACAGTGATGGAAATGCTTTCTATTCTTTGGAATAAATATAAAGGGCCAGAACCCGCATTGCATTGAAATAATGCATAAAAGATCTTTGAGCAGACTACATTTGTACTGTATTAGGATTAAGCATGAAGAATCAATGAGCAAGCACACATTTTACGACATGTATCGCATCAGGATAACGTATCAAAATATACGATCATACTCATATTTTATTTCCTGTATTTCATTTCGGTACCCTGTAAAAAAGCAAGATCAATTAAATTAATTCACTTCTGTATGGATATTGGAAATTATGTTTAAGTCAATTTTCTGTGTACAATTTCAATATAACCACATTGTAAACAATGTATATTAAGATTTCAAGTAGTCGTGGTTTTTCTTCGCCTTGCCCACATGACACTATCTCATAGTGTCATTTTTCATAACGTTAAACAGATTGGGTCAAAATTTATTTTCTTCAAGATAAAGCATACGCATTTCAGCCGTACAATGTTTAAAATTGTGTGCTTATTTGTGTGCGTGGGTAAGTTTTGAAAAATTCTATTCTATTTTATGACTGATTATAAATTTAAAGAACTTTCTTGCTTGATGATATTTTACTAAAACATTTGTGTAGGCATCAAAAATCTATGTTTGAATTGCTTTCTTGATCCTGTTAGGTATTTAGTATTTTTTAATTTTGGATAGTGTTTTTAGCAGCCCATCATTTTGAAATAAAATTCACATTCATAAACAGTTGTTTAATAGATAAAATGAATGACGTGTTGAATATATGTCTTAAGTTTCATGTTTGTACAAAAATGTCATAAATTATGTCATATTGTGAATGGGTATTGATGCAGAATGTCATTATCATTCTTCCAGATATACATATACTTGACATGCATTAAATTGTACCAGAATCTATCTCGCTTTTAACACTTTAATAGATTTCTTAAAGTCATTGTAAATCAACAGATATTTGCATATGTGACAGATGTTTGCATATGTTAGTTTGAAATAAATACAACAATTGTGCTAATGTTAGTCATTAGTATAAACAAAATTTTATATATTACAGTGTAAGAGTAAGATTCCTTTTTATTTCAGGAATAGTCTTGTCAGAAAAGTCGGAATATGGATCAGAACATTGCCGGAATGTTTTAGCTACAGACTGTAGTGGTTATCCTCCTGCACCAATGTGTGGTGCTGACGGTCGCACCTACCAAAATAGGTATTCAAACATAACATGTATGCTAAAAGTATATATCCAGTTCCCTGAGATCTATTTCTTTCATTTTCAATAGAGGATAGTGATTGAGTGTAGGTTCAATACTGAATTTATTCAAAGAGATCAATACTAACTTATAAAAGTGACACGAATATAATAAATTCTTTATCACGAGTCAAAAATAAGAATTGTTTTCAGTTAAAAAGAATCACTTCTGATATAGGAATATTGATAATATTTCATTATCCTCCAAATTCAGTAAACCTTTGAAATTCTGCGGACGTGAACTACCATAGTTTTTTCCTAGAAACTTTCGCGATAACAATATTAATTTTTCTCGTTTTTAAAGGATGGCGTTTTCGTGGAGACAAACTTTGTGCAAACAAAGTGACCACACAATTTGCGGACTATTAGGTCGCTGGGGGTTAATGTATCTTTAAACAAACTTTATAGTTACATAAGATGCAATTCTAATAAAACTTCTGTGATGAAAGAAAAAAAATACATTCAGATGACTTATTTCTCCGCAAATAATGTTATTGCATTTACAATTATAAAGTCGAGTTAAATAATCGTGTGATTTACTTTACTATCAGAAAACAAATTCTTTGTTTGAATTAAATAAATTTTAACCGTTAAAAAAGAAACAGAAAATGCTTATCCATGTTAGATTTTTTTGCTATTGTACTTCTTACAAACAATGACACCTTCACTTTTTAGTAAAATTAGCTTAATTAAAAGTATGCAAACTGTTAATTACATGTATTATATGATTTGAATTTATTGAAATGCACTAACATAAAAAAAGCGAAATAATTTCTAAGAACACAGTATTTGGTTCAAAGGTTTATCCAATTTTGGTCGGTTGTATTTCGCATGGCGTAGTCGTCTTTTTTGCAGTTTCATTCACTTGTATACATATCATTTATGACAGTTGATTGAGTGATGATTATAATAATTATATACACACATACGGGATAAACAGTGCTTTTTAACACATTTAAAATGATCAGACACTGAAAGCAACTTTAACCAGAAAACTGTATTCATAAAATTATTTTCAGCTTTCAAATTGTTGGTTATCTTATATGCAAAGTAAATAAGGTGCACCTTACCTCTTCAAATTTGACTTCTTGTATCACATTATGTAGGTGCATTGCTTATTTTCAGCTGCGAATTTGCGCACGGAATCTGTTCACACCATGGCCATACCTTGCACGCTGTACACCATGGTCCATGCACTGGAACAGACACGCCATAAAAAGGTCCATTTAGCCTTAAATTAAAAGCTAAATTTCAATAAAAAAGTCAAAGATAAAGATATAAATCTGTTGTTTCATCTATCCGGCCAAAATCACGACTTGTACGAAGAAATATTTTGTCTTGCTCACATCACGTTTTCTTTGTGTGTGTTTTTAATATATATTGATTAATTCGTCCGACTCAAATCATGACTATACTATACTGATTATACTATATTTTTTAACCCACATATTTCAAAATATAATGAAATTGAAGATATGTATTTATTTAGCTTTATACAGATTTCAGTATGACATAACGTTCGTATGCAGCCGAGTTCTTTCGCAATCTGTAAAATCACAAAATAATGTACGCTCGTACATTTATCTTCGGACCAAACTAATGTCAATATTCATCAAACCCTTTACAAATATTTAACACAAATATGCACGGCATTTTATAAACAAAGACTTTTCACAGTTTCTTTATTAGTATGCTAAAATAGTATGTAATATTTTGAATGAAAATATGTACTTTTAAGAAATGTATAACTAAGAGAATTGACTTGCATACATGTCTCTTTTAATTCATTTGATGAATAACCGAATTATTTTTATTACATTTAATAGTTATTAAACTTATATACATTGTTACATAAAAAATTAAGTATTCTAATATCTACAGTGTTATTGTGATCCATATTTTAAAGTGATGTACGCTAAATGTGACGTTGCCGTTTTCGCCTTAATGGGGAATGTGCTATTTGAATAAAATCAATTGTGTGTTATCATGAAATGCATAGAAAATCCAGTGGTAATATGAAAAATATATGGAGAAATGATATTTGAATAGATTGTTAATATAAAAGATATCGAAAGAAATGATATTTGAAAATAGCGCCAATATGAAACATATAGAAAGAAAATATGTTTAAAAATAGCGCCGATATGAAAATATCAAAATAAATGATATTTGTATTGAATGATTGTATAAAAGATATCAGAAGAAAAGATATTTGAACATAGCGCCAATATGGAAAAAAATGAAAGAAGTGATGTTTGAATAGATTGAACATAATAATAGCAGAGATTTTAATAGATCTGTGATAATAGATATCAAAAATAAAAAGATATTTGAATTAAGTGTCAAAATGAAAAATATCGAGAAAAATGAAAGGTAAATACATTGTTTATATAAAAGATAAAACTGTCTGATATGCAAAAAAATGTGCGATTCAAATAAAGTATCTGCTTGCGATGTACCGTTCACTTCTCAAATATAAAATCGAAATCCTCAAATTTAACATATAAATTACATTAAAAAACGTATAAAAAGGATATAATACATGATACAGAATATAATTCATAAAAATCCATTACAGATATGATACATAGTATTGTAATGAATAGTATGGACAAAAAATTACTTCCGTTATAATTCTGCATATGATAATGGGGAAATAAAATTCAGTTGTCTTACATGACTTGAATTTCTTAAGACTGTTAACAGCTGCTCAATAAAGTTTTGATAGTCCAGACGTTGTTGTTTCAATTTTAATGTTTCACTGTTTTCAAAAAATATAATGGTTTGCTTAACTCTTTTTATCATCCACGAGCATCTGAATTCCCTATTTAAGCGGATGTTTGACAACAGCGTAAAGATTGGATATGTATATGTCACTGTTCCAACCAGTAAATGTACTAAATTAATTCTGACGGTTGGTCCCTGTCTTCGGTCATTAGAGCCAAAAATGTTCTGGAGGATAGGAAAAGAAAAATGGCAGATAACCATGCCAGGAGCCAGGCGACGATGTCCAGGTAAAAAGCAGCGTGAAGCTCCGTAGAATTTTCTTTGATGCCCGTCAAATAAACCACAAAACAAATCAGCAAAAGAATACCTGAAAGAGTTTGGAGGAAAACTCAATTTAAGTTATTGCTTTAATTAAAGCATGGAAAGAAAGCTGAAAGTATACCGACATATGAAAAGTAGCAACACATTATCAGTAATTATTTCACGCAATAGATATGATCAGCTACATAATAAATGTGGTCATTAGAGCCAAAAATGTTCTGGAGGATAGGAAAAGAAAAATGGCAGATAACCATGCCAGGAGCCAGGCGACGATGTCCAGGTAAAAAGCAGCGTGAAGCTCCGTAGAATTTTCTTTGATGCCCGTCAAATAAACCACAAAACAAATCAGCAAAAGAATACCTGAAAGAGTTTGGAGGAAAACTCAATTTAAGTTATTGCTTTAATTAAAGCATGGAAAGAAAGCTGAAAGTATACCGACATATGAAAAGTAGCAACACATTATCAGTAATTATTTCACCCAATAGATATGATCAGCTACATAATAAATTTTAGTCACATAAAATGTAACATCAACAATGTACAGCTGATATGACGACTTTCAAGATTCACTGAGAAACCGATGAGGCGTCCCTTCTTGTATAATTTCAGGCATGAGTAGAACAAATTACCAGGTTGGATAGCTTGAAAAATAATCGAAATGCTAATGCAGAATTCGAACTCAAATTCAAACAACTCTCTTGTGACAATCGATTTGTAAAACATTAATCTGGATATAAGGGTTTATAAAGACTTGATGCAGATTCCTGCATGACATAATGTGCATATGGAGCCGATTTCTTTCGCAATCAGTAAAATAAAAAAAAAATGTATAATTTTCTTAGGACCAAACTAAAATCCGAGTTCATCAAACTCTTTATAAATAGAGCACAAAAGTACACTGCATATTAAAAACAAACAAACAAACACAAGTATAGCCCCATCTTAACGCCTATTTAGCATGTCCTTCCCCGAAGAAGTGCGAGGCTATTGTTGTACAAATAATGGCGATACATCAGTTGGTAAAACAATTAGGTTTACGTTTAATTAATTGGGTATCCTGATTTAGAGAAAACTCTTTTTGAGGTAGTTTTAGAGTTCGTGGAATGTCATTTTGAACAAATGCCAAAACTACAGATATATTGAATGCGAAAAAAGGCCAGCTATATCACTTTAATATTATTATATTCAGGATATACGAGCAGATCTAAGATCAAGTACACAATAACATTTAAAATGTTTCAGCACCAGTAACATTTCATCCTAAATTTAAAAAAAATGACAAGGTGTTTGTTGATTTATGGATTCTTCTGTTTTGGGTTTTAATGTCTCAAAGGTCAGAACAATAGTTATATTTTTACAAAATAGTTATATTTTTACAACTTTAAACAGAGTGCCCTATGTTTTGAGGTGATATTTGCCCCTCGTAAAGTATTATATTTGCTTGTAAGCAGTAGAAGACCATAGATGTTATTGTTTGTGTAGGTATGCCAATGTCATAGGTCATTTCCAAGCACTGATGCAGGCTGACCACCTTTCAAAATTTCATTTTATTTAGTCCCGCCCATTGTTTTCTCGTTTATAGCAAACGTTTTCTTTATCATTCAATGTAAATATATACATATTTGATCAGGTATGCCTTTTCACTCATAATTCCTATGAAAAATGATTAAACAAATCATATTTCTACACTTTCTTTAATATTATAAAGAAAAAAAAATTATGAAAATTTCATAAATTTCACAATTCATAATGTGACTATATAACATAAGGATAAACCGTTACAGAACAATTTTATGAAGTTAGTGTTCGGCCTTAGAAAAATATAATCCAAATGAAAACAGTAGAATTGCGAAATGTCGATTTTATCAATATGTAATATTTTGAATTAAAATACATAATTTTACACAAATGGGCACACAGTCAGCTATCTTTCGACAATGGGACATACGGGAATGACCAATACCGAAAGATACTAGAAAATCTCTGGTAAAATAAATTAAGAACATAAACCCCCTATGCGGTAAATACCTCAATAAAATCATTGATTGTAGTTCGCATGCGAGGAATTATATAATGATGCACATCCGAACGACAAATAATGCTTTTATCAAGCGATAAAATCACCGATTTGGATTTTAATTATTTCGATTCTAACACGACAACACCGTACCTGATATTAAGCTAAATTTCGCTTGATTTGTTTCCGTTCTTATTTTCAGCGCGTCGCATTTTTTAGTGGTTACGTCCCTTGTTTTGCATGAAATGTCAATTCGGTGACATCTTCACAAATAACGCTTTGTGGAACTTACAATATTGAAAAATCTTCATTTGAGTATCATATGTATACAAACCATAAACAAATGACAAATAGGATCTTTAAGAATGTATATCTATGAGAATTGTCTTGCATACATGTCTCTTATAATTCATAAAATGAATACCCACATTAACTTTATACATTTAATAATTTTTAAAATTCATATATATACTCTGTAATTTGTTAGAGTATTCTAAAACCTACAGGATTATTTTGTTCCAAATTATTAATGTATGTACGCTATATTAAATATCATTTTGATGTTGACGTTTCCGTCTGAATGGGAAATGAGCTATTTGAATAAAATAGATCGGGTTTTAACATGAAAAGTAAAGAAAAAATCCAGTGGTATGGAGAAATGATATTCGATTAGATTGTGAATATAAAAACATCTAAGGAAAAGATATTTGAAAATTGTGCCTATTATGAAAAAATATATAGAGAGAAAAATATTTGAATTGAATGATTGTATAAAAGATATCAAAAGAAAAGCTATTTAAAATATCGTCAATATGAAAAATACCGAAAAAATGATATTTGAATTGAATGACTGCATCAAAGTATAAAAGATATCAAGAGAAAAGATTTTTTGAATACATCGCCTGTATAAAAAATGAAAGAAATGATATTTGAATAGATTGTTAATATATCGAAAGAGAAGATATATGAAAATTGCGCCAATATAAATGATATGGTCAGGAGAGATATTGTATCTAAATTCAATAATTGTATAAAAGATATCAAAATGAAAGATATTTGAACATATCATATCGAAACTATGAAAGAAAATTGAAAGAAATGATATTTTAATAGATTGATAATACATCGAAAGGAAAGATAGTTGAAAATTGTATCAATACAAAAAATATTGAAAGAAATGATATTTGAATTGATTTGAATTGAACAATTGTATAAAA